GAAAGATCTGGCCAATGACAAAAAGGTTGCTCTGGGACGTTGCAGACCTCCACACAATAGCGGCCGGCCACCCATTCCTTAGTACTTCATGTGCGAAGAAGAGGGCATACTTTGTTTTACACACTGTTTTCACCACGTAAAAAGTTAGCCACCGGGCTTGATGAGATAACGCACTGGCCTGACTCTGCACTGAGAAGTGAACATCCGATGGTTTCAAGGTCTTACAGAACATCCCTTCATGTTTTCAGAGAACTTTAGAAACACCATTACAAGGAAGAACATATGGCAGGGCCTCATAGAAATAGTGTAATAGACATCATAGAGCCAATGCAATAAAAAACCAAATACTATTAATAGCTAACTCTTCAATTAACCAATAAGGTTTTGACTGATTTGATAAAACTATTGTTTTGAACTGAATCAATGACCATTTGTCATATGACATAGAAGTAGAGGTACTTTAAATAAGATATGCTGAAAAAGGGGCGCCTGGGTGGCTCAGTGGTTAAAGCCTCTGCCTTCGGCTCAGGTCGTGATCTCAGGGTACTGGTATCGAGTCCCGCATCTGGTGCTCTGCTCAGCAGGGAGCCTGCCTCCTCCTGTCTCTCTCTGCCTGCCTCTCTGCCTACTTGGTGATCCGTCTGTCAAATAAATTAAAAAAAAAAAAAAAAAGATATGCTGAAAAAGATATTCAGTTCAGCATCATAAATAATAACAAAAAGGAAAGAGAGGGAAAAAAATGGAAATAAAATAAGTCACGCCTACTGTTTAATTTTCTGAATATCTATAGAGCACCTACTTCAGTGTCAAAGCACCAAGCTTAATGCTGGGGATACAATGTTTAAAAAAAGACTGACAGGGCTCTGGGCTCACAGAGTTTCCATTCTATTATTTTGAGAGACCGACATTAAAATAATCACATTGGGTATTTTCTTCCAGCAGTTACTGCCACTACACTCTCCTAAATAACAAAAAGAAATAGCAAAATACTATGCAGACATTTTAAATGACGGTAAAGCAGTTTTAATAATGACAGAAAAGGGGCACCTGGGTGGCTCAGTTGGTTGGGCGCTGCCTTCAGCTCGGGTCATGATCCTCAAGTCAAGGAGGGATCGAGTCCCTCCTGAGCATGCTTCTCCCTCTGACCCTCCCCTTTCCCATGCTCTCCCCCTCTCTCATTCTCTCTCTCTCTCAAATAAATAAATAAAATCTAAAAATAAATAAATAAATAATGACAGAAAATGAGGCAGCTGGGTGGCTCAGTTGGTTAAGTGGCTGCCTTCAGATCAAGTCCTGATCCCATGATCCTAGGCTCCTGGGATGGAGCCCCAAGGCTGGCCCCCTGTTTCTCCATCTCCTTCCGCCCCCTCCCTCTTCCTTTTTCCCCTCCCCTTTCCCATGCTCACACCCTCTCTCCCCTCCTCTCTCTCAAATAAATGAAATCTTAAAAAAACTTTTAAAAAATCTGAAACCAAAAAAAAAGAAAATGTTATTACAAGACTAGTATTTAATGAAATCAAGAAACAGTTTCATGAAGCATATGATCTCACCAATGTAAAAAAAGGTAACGAAGGAGACTGAGTGATTATAAAATCCATTTGTAAGAATGTATGATTGAGATTAGCTAAGAAAAATGATGAAAGGAACTCCTACACTTGAATAGGGAAACAATTTCCAAGTCTCAATGAACAGTTCAATGTGAAATGGAGCAAGAATCAATGAGTATCAGGGTTACAGGACAAAATAACTCTACACGTTTCTGGACTAATACTTGAGAATACAGCTTTTTTCCACGTTCCAAAGTAGCATTTTAAGCCAGTGAGAAAAGGATAAACTAGGCAATAGCTAGTGGATTAACTATTTAGAAAAATAAACAAAGTTAAACCTTTATATCACATCATAAATTCCAAATGCAACGTGACAGGATAAATCTCACTGGTAAAGCTGAAATATTTATATTTTTATATTTTTATGTATATAAATATATCTATTATGTAATAATAATTCAAAGTATCACTAAATACCTAATTACTAAGTTTCACAAAAACATTCCAAACGCACTTCAATGTTAAAATTTAGAAACCATGAAATGAAATTTAGGAAACTACTAAGCAATTCTATGGTGGGCACATATTCTTAGAATAGAAGAAAAACTATTTTTAAAAGACTGAAGATTTTAGGGGCACTGGGTGGCTCAGTCGTTAAGCATCTGCCTTAGGCTCAGGTCATGATCCTAGGGTCCTGGGATCAAGCCCCGCAGTGGGCTCCCTGCTCGGCAGGAAGCCTGCTTCTTCCTCTCCCATTCCCCCTGCTTGTGTTCCTGCTTTCCTGTCTCTCTGTCAAATAAATAAAATCTTTTAAAAAAAAAAAAAAAAAAGGTTTTACAAGACATTTCAAATTTTACACAGAAAAAAGTCATGACATAGATCCTACAGTATGGATATAGTTATCACAGAAAAAATATAGTTATGACCAGCAACCAACAAGGAAAAATGTTTGCAACACACAGCAACTAAAAGGTTGATAACTCTTCATATATGGTGTGCTCTTACAATCAACAAGATACAAACATCCCAACAGAAAAATGGGCAAACAACATGAACATTATTTGACAGAGAAATTTAGAAGATCAAGAAACCTATTTTAGAGTATTTGACCACATTGGTTGATACATGCAAGTTTATAAAAACCACAATGACAGAAACGCTGCTTTAAGTATTAGGTGTCACTACCCAGATGAAAAGCCACAATATCCAATATTGGGAAAGAGACAATAAAATGTGGCCGGATGGCTAGCACATGAGCCGGGGCATTCTGCTGAGAAGGCAATTTGGTAAAAATGTGTCCAAAGCCTTCAGTCCAGTAATCCCACTTCGAAGGTAATTTATTATTATTTTTTTTTAATATTTTACACAAAGACAACAACTCAAAGCTAAGTGTCCTTCCTATGACGCTGGAGAAAGCCACAGAGACCTATACCATGTGATACTGTGCACCCATTACAAAAATTTAAGTTCTCAAAGCATTTTAAGTGAAATGAGATAAGCTCACACATCTAATAAATGAAAAGACGACCTACGTCTGGAGCAAGATCAGTTCGAAAAGACATACATACAAATATATGTGGAAATCAGGTTAGCAGTGGTCCTCAGGTGAAATCAGAAGAGATTTCAATTTTTTTCCCTTCTCATCTTCTTTTTCACACATGTCTAAATCAACCATAATGAGCATGTTACTTCAATGATCAGGAAAATGCAACTTAAAGAGTATCTAAAGTAAATACACCAAACTGACACAGGGTGGTTAAGACCATAAGGCAACTCTTTTCCCCTGTTTTAACTTTTCTATACTGAGCAAAGGAGAAACTCTTAAAAGGTCTAGCGTGAGGACTGCCACACATGGTCCAAGGTTGGCTGATTACAGGAAGAAGAGGTGGAAGGAAGGCAGGGAAGGCAGGCCAAGCAGGCAAAGGCCTTGCAGAGGAGACAGGAGGTGGGAGGTGGGTGCACACTCAGTGCCCCCCCCCACCCACCGACAGCCACGAAGCCCCAGACCACTCACTCACTCCTCAGCACCACAGGACCGGGCCAGGAACAAGACCTCGGAGCTCCGTGATCTGTGAGCATCAGCCCATCTCTTCAGGCTACCTTTAGGCAAAAAAGCAGAGGCCCAGAGAGGAAAGCAAAGCTCCACAACTTGGTACATGTGACCTCCTGTGACCCAGAAAGACAATCGCCGACGCTGCTCCATAGACATGCACAGAGGCACAGAGCCACAGAAGCACTCCTCCACAGGGCCCGAGTCAGGGGCCCCGCTGCTAACGAAGTGTGGGCTTGGCCACCAGCTGTGGCCACAGAGCCACCTGCCCGTCCACTGGGCCACGCCAACCACGGGAGGGGACTGATTCATGCCCAGGTGGACGCAGAGCCACCTGCTACCTCAGAGCTGGTTCCCCGCGCAGAAGCCCGCTGGCCCACAGAGGACAAGCCTGACGATCCAGCTGGGCTTCCAGCCCCAGCGGGCGGGCTCTCCAAATGAGGGCCTCCATGTCCTACAGAAAGGTGCCAGCCCAGGGAAGACCAACTGCTCCCACACGGCAGCTTCCCTGCAACTCAGCACAACCCTACAAAGCGCACCGCTGTCCCCTGTCCCTTTGCTCTGCCTGTTTAAAAACACAGGGGCAATTAAGCCACTTGATGCCAGAGCGTCTACGAGGTGACCTGGGAAGGAAGAGCATAAACACATCCACAGGATCACACAGAAACCACAAAAATGCCATCTGTTAGGACACTGATCCACGTGTCCTGATAAAGGGAATCACCAACTGAACAGCCATTATCATAGCAGGCACTTGAAATAGCTGCATTCTTTCAAATGTCACAAAATTACACTTCTCAGTTTACACAGGCAAACACCTAGGCACAGAGTAAAAAGAAAGGCAGCTCAAAGTCCTGGTGTGAGGCAGTGCTAGGATGGAGATTCAAACTGCAAAGCCAGTGCCCCTTGTGTGAGGACACGGTGGGTGGTCCTGTCACCACCCCATGGGGCTTCTGCGTGGGTACACATGGAACCCAGCCCCCAAGCTGCCTGAGGATGGGCCAACCTTCCCACCGCTGCCCGCTGCAGCTCTAGGAAACAGAAGAGACCTCCTGTACCTAGGGTGCTCCATCCACATCCAGGAAAGGACACCGGTCATGGTCACAGTCAACAGCAATTTTAACAACTGCTGCTGGTCACCAAGCCTCTGCCCCGTGGAGGGCCCATGCAAGAACTATTATCTCCATTACCCACGGCTGGCCTGAGGGCCTCTACAGCTGAGACATCTACTTTTCAGGCAAGGACGCAGAGGCTCAGGGAAGTCTCCCCACTGGGACACAGAATCTGACACGCAGTCTCCTTCCCAGCTAACCCCACCATGACCAGGTAAGGAAGCCCCCCATGCATCATCCAGGTCGACTCCCCACTCCTGCTGGCAGGTGGCCCCACACGGCAGCCACTACCTTGGTTGAGATAGGTCAGAGTCTCCTCGTGCAGCTTGACGGCAGGGGACGTGGCTGCGCACAACACGTACTGCAGGGGCGGGAGGCGGGCGTCGTTCTCGGGGGACAGCTGGGGCTCCTCTTGCTTGAAGATGGGCAGAGCGAGCACATCGCTGCAACACACAGGAGGGAGCAGTCAGGAGCAGAGCCCCACGGAGCCCAGGCGCAAACATAGAGAGCCAAGTCAGAGAAGTGAGTCCTGACCCGGGGCATCGAGGGCAACACACCAAAACCCATGGCAGTGTGCTTGTGGGGGAGGGGAGGAGGGGGGCGGGGGGCCGTCCCAGACCTCATCCAACACCAGTGCCCCCAGAACCAGGACGCTCCTTTCAAACCGCGTCTACCCATCCCATGAGGATTCTGTTTTTCACTCAAGGGCCCTCCAGAGATTTACTGAATCAGTTCAAGGAGGCAAAAATGCAAAGTTATCTGGTATCTACAAATTACAGAAATCTCTGTGACGAGGGGCCTGGCAGCAATGGAGTGAACCTGAAATGCCACGTGGTTTCCATCCACAAGAGACTGCTCATTCTGTAGTCCTGCTCTCAGCCTAAGAATCTGAACAGAAGTTTTCATTTTTTTAAGTAAACTCTTCTACTCCTCGGCGGCTTCTCAGACCAATTCAATCCTGTCCTCAGGGCTCTGTAAACTATGCAAATGCATTTTACTCACCGGGCTGTGACAGCCCACCACCTACAATCTTCAAAAAAAAAAGGGGGGGGGTAGAGTTAGCCCATGATCCCGATTTTAATGATCATACTACTTTCTCCTAAATGCAAAACGAGGTGTAAAGACCTCGGATTTAATTGTTTTCTTATTCACATGCAAAGTATCAAGATGCTCAGAGATACTTTTCCTCCACCTCTGAATACTCCCCGCCATAGCCAAAAAAAAAAAAAAATCAACCTCACACCAGCCTAGGAGTTGTCTCTAGATGTACTTTTCCAAAAGCCCTTGCAAGAGAAGAAGAAATTCCTGGGGCGCCTGGGTGGCTCAGTGGGTTAAGCCTCTGCCTTCGGCTCAGGTCATGATCTCAGGGTCCTGGGATCGCCCGCATCTGGCTCTCTGCTCAGCAGGGAGCCTGCTTCCTCCTCCCTCTCTGCCTACCTCTCTACCTACTTGTGATCTGTCTGTCAAGTAAGTAAATTAAAAAAAACTTTAAAAATAAAAAAAATTTTTTAAAGGAAATTCCTGAGACAGGAATGACCTGTGAGCAGGAAAGGCTTTTGTTTAAGACCTCAATATTACAAGCAGTGTAGAAACAGATGCTCTGAAAGTCCTGGTCCCCTTATCTTGATAACCCTCCTCCCTCTCAGCGTCCCCAGTTATGAATCAGATTCACCGACCCCACTGCACTATATAAACAGGAGTCACTGGTACAGTCTGTTCCTCTTCCAACACAATAAACCAGTAGTCTCTAAAACACAAACCCGGCACACACCCCAGCAATCCCAAACAATTCTCAGAAGTGCAACTCTGGCTTGGAACACACCTAGAAACTCTCCTATGTGGGGGCCTGCCCCTGCCACCATCCCCGGCCCAAAGACAGGAGCAGTGCCATCTCGGCTCCCCTCACACTGCCCCTTCCTTTTGCCACACTGGTGCACACTCCCAGCCCAAGTGGTTATCTAGGAACACGGGAGAGGCAGGCAGGCCTACTCACCTGGGGGTTGCATAATTTCATGTTTGCCCAGACCGTGTTATGTTAATATGCCATGGGCTGCTGCCTTTAAATTAAAAAAGAAAGAAAGGAAAAAAGAAAAAAGAAAAGAGAGAGAAAGAAAAGTAGGGGTGGTAACAACCATCACTTAACAGTAATTTCTTTCAAGCCTGGCATCCTTATTTGCTAAGGAGTAAAAGTCACAAGAACATCAAACAGAAAAAGGTTAAGAAAGGAGTAAAGGCCACTATGTGTGTAAGGGGAGACAACTTGCAGAGGTTTCAGGGTAAGGAGATCACCAAAAATAAAATATATAAACCAAGGAAAAGGACAACGACTCTCACTCTAGAGTTGGGGGAACCAGTGGCATATTCATTGGACCCTCACTTTGGCCTTCACTAAGGTCAGCCTCTAAAAGGATGAAAACCCCAGTTTCCAAGACATGGAATTTTTTTTTTTTTTTTTTTAAATAGCATGGGCCAAATGTTTCCTTATCCATGGTCCGTAAATGACCCCAAAAACTAGTATGGCTTTCTGGCACCTTTCACCCCAATTGCCACCCACCTCCCAAACCCTGAAACAATACCAAAATCCTAAAAAGGTATCTAAGGAATCCACAGACCAATTTCCATTTCAGAAGCAAAAGCACCTCCCATACAAGGGGAGAACTATTCCCTAATGGGATGACATTTTAAGTATCCAGGAAGTTTTAAATACACTCACATTCCACTCAAGGTCACCTTCAAAATCATTTTTTAAGATATGGCAACATATTTAATGGCCACAAACTAAAATTTAGGCAAAACCACAACCATAAACCATCACACAGTACAATAAAAACGGACCCCACTGTAGCATTTCATGCAGGTGAACGGAAACAATTTTCTGCAGAGACTAACTTCTGCCCCTTGAAGTTCTGACATCCCCCAGCGTAGCTTCCCTCTGGTTGACATTTCCATGGTCTGCAGGGAAGGCCATCATTCCTTAATTAAGACTGAGACTTATGCCACCTCCTATTACTCAGGCCCATGAATAAAAAGGAGAGGACACATCAATTAAACCCAATCATTTCTCTACTTCTGGAAGGAGGAGGTCTTCAGAGTGGACTAGGGGACACATTACTTATCAGAAGCCAGGATTTCCAAATAACATGTACTGCTAAATCTAAGTAGGAACTTCTTAGGAAGGAAAAAAGGGGTGGGGGCACTGAGAACGGCTCTCACTTCGGGGCTTTCGGCACCAGTGATTCCTTCCACCTCACGATTTACTTTCTGAGTCCATACCAAATGCCCTTTGGGTTAAATTAGGCATATTTCGTAAACTGTGACTAGGATGGAAATAAAGACAGGCTAAAGCTGGTTCAGGCGAGTTCAGTAAATGAAATGACTGCCCATTAGTGCCCAGCCAGCTGCAGAACAGGGAAAAACAATCCTCCAGGAACTGAAGCTAACGGGGCTCCGACTTCCTTAAAGGGGAGACGACAGAACTTTGAAAAACAAGCAGGACTTACTTTTCCCTTTGAAGAGCACTAGTCAAGTCCCTGCAGAAGAAGAAAGATTTCCATCAAGGGCAATAAAGGTGCGGGCCCCAGGCCAATACACGTATCCAAGACCACCTGGAGGGAGGGGGCACGCTGTCCCTCCGAGCCCCCGCCCGCCGGCCCGCGCAGCTGAAGCGCATGGTCGGCCCTTGCCACTCACTCGCCCCCCTGGGCCCGCCCAAGGACACCGGAGAGGGCGTGCGGCTCGGAGAGGGTCCGGGACAGAGAGGGCCAAAGAGCAGGAGCTAGACCTCCCCGCGACGGGCACCGGACTGACGGCAAAAGTTTCCTCTCCTCCGAAGCGAGCCGGGAGAGAGACTGGGGGAGGCGGACCGGCCGAAGCTGCGGACAGCAGGTGTGTGCCCCGTGCCCGACCAGGAGAGGACGGGTGCCCCCTGGGTCCCTCCCTAGGCGGGTCCCTGGGGGATGTCCCTTCTAGTCCCCCAAGGGCTGATAGCGGGGCGGGGGGGGGCGCGGGGCGCAGCGAGGGCGCTCGGGACCCGGGACCCCTGCGGCTCCCGCCCCGCCCCGGGACGTCCGACCGCGCCCCGTCCAGCCCCGGCGGCGCGGCCCTTACCGCAGGTAGCTGCCGGAGTTGTGCTGGTTGTAGTGCTCGGGCTGTGTGTGCCAGAACAGCATGGCTGCAACTCCGCGTCCGCCGCGCCCCACGCGTGGCAGCGAAGCAGCCGCGGGCCCCGCCGCCCTCTCCCAGTCTCCTGGAAGCCGTGCTGGGAAGCCGCACCCGACCGGCGCATTTATGGACGGCCTGGGGGCGGGGCCACAGCTGGCCCCACCCCCTCGGGCCGCGCAGCGGGGCGGGGGCCTCCTAAGGCCGCGCACCTGGCGGACCCGCTCCCGCGAGCCCTTCCCGGGAGCGAGCGCGCCTCTCCGCTGCGGGACTGGAGAGGGCGGCGCGGACTAGGACTGGGGCCCCGCCTCTTCTCTCGCCCCCAAGGGTGGGGCCCAGGTGACCCTCACCGCTGCCCCGACGACCTCCCGCGTTTCCGCCACGAGGCGCCCTGACTCTTCGCCCGGTTGGGTCCCCACCGCGGCACCGTGGCTGGGGAGAGGCTGCCCTGCGCTTGAACGTTAGGGACCCCGGATCAGGCACTCTCTACCCTCTTCCCATGCTCTTGTTTTCTCATTTCACTTTGCATTCTCTGAAATCGCGGTACTTTTTTTGTTCATTGATTGCCTTTTCCACAAGAATGTAAGCTGCAAGAGGGCAAGGCTTGGACTCCAATTCATGGGAATTTCCCACTGCCTAGGAATATGCTTGGGACATAGTAAGTGCTCCATAAATATTTGTTGAATAAATATGAAAAAAGGAATGCATCCATTGAATAATCAGAGAAGGCTTCCTGAAGGAAGTGACATGGAGCCAAGGCCTTACAGACTTGGAGGAAGCATCTCTCTGAATATCTGGAGGGAAAGTGGGTCCAGTCCCTAGTAATTGCCAAGGCAGACCAGCTTTAGTATGGCTGGGACTGGTTGACCAAGGGGATAAGGAAGCAAAGTGAGAGGTGGACAGGGCACATCACAGAAGGAATATCTAGGATGTCTAAGTGTGTTTTCAGAAGAGAAGTTGAATATGTGATTTGCCTTTTGGAATGAGCAGTCTGGACAAGTGTGGACAGTGGATCATGGAAGGGGGTAGGGTATCAGTAAGGAGGGAGTGGAAGTCATAGAGCCATGACTTACCCCCAGGTGATATTCCCCACTACATGGCACAGCACCTGGCACAGAAGAGCTGGACATTCTGTCTCTGAGTGTTGATGGAATGGAATGAAGTCCCATGAAGCCCCAGGCCTGAAACTCCAGCTCCTCCAAGCATGGATGTGGGTAGAACCCTCTCTCACTCTGCTCTCGCAGCAACTCTTCCTCCCGCATAGGTCACAGCTGGCAAGGCATTTCCTCGTAGCTGCTCTCAGGGACTACTACCTCCCCGCCACTCTCCTACCCCATGAGGAAAACAGAAATGGGTCATCTCAATCCTCCTGCAAGGAAGGACTGACTGTGTGAGCTCGAGAAGTGCCGTAAGCGGAGCCCTCAGCCATCAGCCCCTTTAGGGACGGCCTTTGCTGCAGAGAGCCTGCTCACCCAAGGTCACACCCAGGGAGGGGTGTCCACATCCCACTGCCTGTTGAGACAGGAAAATGAAAGTCTGGCCATCTCTGCTCATTGGCTCTTTTAGCGTCAGGACTCCCCCAGGGGCCAGTCAAATGTGTCATGGGGACCTCCCATGGGACCTCCCTCAGTCCACTCCCGCTTCCTTTCCATCCTTTGCACAGGTGTTAATCTCAAGGAAACTTCCTAATAAACATCCTGAACGCTAAGCTCTGTCTCAGGGTCCATGACAAGCACACAGCATCTAAGCGGGAGGATCTGTGGGGTAGTGTGCAAAGAGCACACCCTTAATGGATCCCTTCACCAGATAAGTAGCCTCAGAGCACCTGCCATGTGCCAAGCATGGCATGGGGTGTGGGCTGGAGCTCTAGCTGAAGAGGCCGGTAGGAAAGCAACAGTAGAGGCTGCTCTAGGAATAAGAAGGAGGGTTGTGGAGCTCTGGAAAGCCCCCAGGGAAAGTGATGCCTCCTGATGGATGGGTAAGTGGAAGTTAGGCCAGTCTGTGAAGCAGGGTTCAGAGCAGGGTCTCCAGCACACAGCATGTGCAAAAGCCCAGAGGAAGGGCTCTGGTAGTGGGAAACAGGTGACAGTGGCTCAGACCCGGGTTTTCCACCTGACTCTGTCAGGATCTGTGACCCTGGGTGGCATAAACTGACTGCTGTGCTGCTTCTCTCATCAGGAGGGCCCTGCGACTCTCTTGACCGTAGAATGTGGCGGAAATGATATTGGCCTTATTCCAGGCTGGCCCCTAGGAGGCCAGGTAGCTTGCTGCCTCTGTTTTCCTGGAGTTCTAGACCACCCTGTAGAGCGTGGATCAAAGCCCAGCCAGCCCCCAACCATCCCAGCCCCCACCAGAGGTCCTCTCCGATTTGACAGTGGACCTGCTCCAGTGGGCACCAAGCAGACAGAGCATGAGCCCTGCCACCGGGCCCTGCCCCAAATGCAGACTTGAGAGCCTGTGCTCTTGGCCACCGTCAATTCCTAGCCTAAGGCCCTGCATTCCTCTCGGAACAAAGTTGGGCAAACGTGCTGGGATCCAGATGTGGGTCTGCTCCCGAGTAGTAGCCCAGGGCCCCACAGAGTCCTCACAGGACAACGCCCTCTTGGCCACTCCACAAGGGATTCCAGCTGCTCTTAGAGGAGGTCGCCCTGAAGAATCTGGGGCCTGATTCCCAGGGCGGGATGGTTTCCACGAATGAAGGGGAGTTTAAGGATGCCCAAAGTAGGCGGGGAGGTATCCTAGCCAGAGGGCAAAGTCTGTAGAACTATGTTTATCCCGGTATTGTTTATAATAGTAAAAACTGGAGACAAGCAAAATGTCCCATCAGCAGGAGGCTAGATTCATCATCTGCAGCCTGTTCACATGATGGGATTCTCTACAAGCTTGAAAATGAATTAGAGCTCCGTGGATGACACTCACAAGCGTAAGGTAAGGCAGAGAGAAACCAGATGTAGATTACATATTGTATAATACGCTTTTTCAGGTTTAGCAACATGCAGAATAACACTAGCTGTTGTACATGAGTCTTTACCTCTGTGCCTAGGAAGTAATAAACACAACCAGCTCACAGAGCACAGCTCACCTCCAGGCAGGAGGGCTCGTGTAGGGGCTCACACAGGGGCCTTCAGCTGTAGGCGATTACCATGAGTGGCCATTAGAACATTCTTTATATATTCTGGCGATCTGAAATATTTCATTAATAGATTTGTTTTTTAAAAGATTCTATTTGGGGCGCCTGGGTGGCTCAGTGGGTTGGGCCGCTGCCTTCGGCTCAGGTCGTGGTCTCAGGGTCCTGGGATCGAGCCCCGCGTCGGGCTCTCTGCTCAGCGGGGAGCCTGCTTCCTCCTCTCTCTCTGCCTGCCTCTCTGACTGCTTGTGATCTGTCTCTGTCAAATAAATAAATAAATAAATCTTTTAAAAAAAAATAAAATAAAAGATTCTATTTATTTACTTGAGAGGGAGAGAGCATGAGCAGGGGGAGGGGCAGAGCGAGAAGCCAACTTCCTGCTGAGCGGGCGCCCAATGCAGGGCTCCATCCCAGGACCCCGGGTTCATGACCTGAGCTGAAGGTAGACACTTAACTGACTGAGCCCCACATGATCCTTTTCTTTTCTCTCCTCTGCCACCCTGGGCTGCCGATGCTCCTGGCCTTTGCATGTACTCAAAAATAAATCTATGAGTGAGGGACACCTGGGAGGCTCAGTTGGTTAAGTGTCTGCCTTCGGCTCAGGTCTTGGATCAAGCCACATATAGGGCTCTTTGCTCAGCAGGGAGCCTGCTTCTCTCTCTGCCTACCACTCCCCTTGCTCGTGCGCTCTCTCTCCCTCTCCCTCTGACAAGTGAATAAATAAAATCTAAAAAAAAAAAAAAAAGAAAGAAAGAAAGGAAGGAAGAAAAGGATCATGTTTGCCCTGTGCCAGAATTCAGGTTCGCATGCTTTGCTTAGAGAGGACAGTGCTCCTCCTGAAACACCTGGAAAAGGCGGGGCTGAATGTCCCCAGGTATTTGCAGGTAGCAAGCAGCTCACCATCTGCCCAGACCCAGACCCTATGACCTTTCCCGGGACAGGCTGTGCCCCATGCCCCGATGTCCCTGCAGTGCACACGGTCTGGACAGAAAAATGGGATGGACCGGGGCTGGCAGGAGGGAGTCCACCTAGCCCTGGTTTCTGGCCTGCCTGGCCCTCCGTACAGCACCTCAGATCCTGACTCCCACTGAGGAGCAGCGAGGAGGCAGGGGACAGGGAGGAAGCTCCCACCTGCCGAGCCCGGGCACAGCATAGCTGTTAATTTAATTCATTCTGTCCCGCTATACCCCTGCAAGGAGGGGGGAACAGACTCCAAAGGCTGCAGTAGCTTGCCTTGAGATTCCAGATCTGAACCCAGGCCATCTGACTCTGGACCTCTGGACTCAGTCCCCGGGACCCTCAGTCGAGGCCAGGGTATGGGAGAGGCAGCTGTGCACAGGGGTCTAGCCCAACCCGGTCATACCCAACCTGCACCCAACAGGGAGGACTAGGATGTCTGAGGCCCTTGGGAGCTGACAGTCCTACTGGGAAGACAATGATCTCCCTTGAATCTGTGCCCCCATCAAGCTCGGGAATCTCCCAGGCAGGGGCCATGTCCTCCTCCAAATTGCATGGCCTGCGCCTGACACAGGGTCGTCACGGGGTGGGGGTGGGGGGGCACTACTTAGGAGCTCTTGGGTTAATCTGATTGACCTAAACTGCCATGAGACATCCTGGTGGATGCTTCAAATAGGAAACTCACTAGTGTGGTCTATTACGTAATTAACTAACCATCTAGGAGTAACATAGAAATGCACACAAAATTCAAAGGAAAATAGCCTCCCTGCCCCCTCCACTTCTCCCCTCCCATCCAAATTTTGAGGGTTAGTAGTGTCCGTGGGCTCTTCCCAAACATGTATGAGAGGCACACTAGGGATTTAGAGCTATCTATAGATTTCAGAGCTAGGTAACCCAGACAGGCTTCCCGAGGGAGGAGAAGAGGGGTAATTTAAGTG